CACTCGTAGAAAAATTTCACACATCGCCATCTTCGTTTTGAAAGAGAAAACCCCAGACCCTTTATCTGGTTTTCTCTTGCGCTACTGGAAGCAGTGATCTGGTTAGACCCGTGGAATGCATAATTTCTTTTCTTTCCTCTTTTTCGACATCAAACTTCAGGGATTTGCAGCCTGTTTTTTTCTTGCAGTTCTGGAGGCACGGGAAAGAGAGACGCCCCTGCTCGTTTCACGGCCTGACTATAATTCGAGCCGAGATATGACTCATTTTGAGTTGCCTGTTGAATTCGCCGTCTCAGGGCTCAGTGTGAGATTTTTCTAAAGGTTTGTTGTCAAGTGTGTTCACAGCTGCATTGTGATGGAATGCACAGCCCTTTATATCTGCATGTTTTCGAAAGCTGCAGAAATCCTTCGAAAATAGTTTCGGATCTTCGACAAAATTGGAACTGGCGAGAAATCCGCATTGAATGTGCGTAACCACAGCTCATTACTTGCGCTTCACAGACGCAACCAAATTGGTTTATTCCGGAAATTTTATTTGCTTTTTGGTGAGTTTAAGCTTGCGTCTTCTTATCTCTTTCTGGTAACAGAACACCACTCTCCACGGGAAATTTTTGCTTGAAGGGCGAATTAGCGATAAGTACGAAGTTTGAAGAAGGGGAATGTTGTCTACTGGGAGACAGGTGGACCGCCTGAGACGCAATTGGCAGCGAAAGATTTGACCTCGGCGATCTAGCATGGCTCACTCTTGGCGCGGTTGGCGGGGTACGCCCACCGACTATCTAATCACTCGCCGCAGGTCTATACGTGGCGAGTGATTAGATAGCAGAGAGAGCGTAGTTGAAGAGGGCACAGCGATGAGAGTCGCATCAATGCGCAAATCAACGGGCAAGGAAGGGGTCCCATTTCTCGGGTTCTCGGGCCGTTTCGGCAGTTTCTTCTTCATCCCTGCTCCACTGACCATCTCTAGAATGAGCTAACTTTCCATCGTATATTCTGCCTTTGATTCTGAAATAAGTGAGCAGAATGCGTGGCGCATCGTAAACGATGGTAAACCAACAACGAGTGCATCCCAAACAAGGCCGTAACCAGCAGCGCGTGCTTCGCTTGTCAGCCTTGCAATACCTAAAAATGGTGGTGATCCAGCGCTAAATTTCGTGTTTATTGCAGCTATAACATTTCAATCAGGTAGCCTACTCATGCATTCATTGTTTGTCGGAGACGGTCGCTCTCCGCGGTTTGGGGCCCCCCCTTTGCTGTCTTCACGACGTGAGCTGCACACACCAACTTTGCCGTTCCCTGTGCCTGGCTCCAGGTTGGTTTCTCACCCAATCTTTGGGATGCTTTACTTCTCCAGGTTTGCGAAACTCATTAAGACCAAGGGTCTGCGTCTTTTGGTTCTCAAGAATGCATAGGCATCTCGTTAGTTTACTGTGTCTGCTTGATTCTCAAGGGTACATCACACAAGCTCTGATATCCTATCAAGTGAGCCAGCTCGGTAATTGAATTTATGTTTGACGAGCAGCCATGCGAATTTGGTGCTCCACCCGGCGGCGGCCGGCCACACCCCTCACCTCCTTCCTTTCCTCATTGCACGTCGCGTTGAGTAGTACGAGCCTTTATTTTCACTCGTGTGTGTTTTTTCATCTTCGCGCTACTCTCAGAAACAAAGCAGTTCATTCCGAGCGGCTAGTTTGGTTGAGCGAGTTAGGAGGAACTTTTTTGGATGAGGTAGTCAAGGCCAGGCTGGTTCCTTGGAGTAATTATCTGCATTCGAATAAACCGACTAAGCCTCACGCCCGCGCATGGCCTTTCACCTCAGATTTCGGCAGCTTCCAAGGCAAGACGAAACTGCTCAGATAATTGAAAAGACAGACTTTGGAAGAATTTGTTTCGCATAGTACATTATGGGCGTTTGCTCTGAGGATGCCATCTGCGTCCTCCATTTCTTGGAAACTTTCGTACTTTTTGAACCTTTGTTTGCGGCTGCTCATCAAACACTTTATGAGCACTTTATGTTCTTCGCGTTGAACTTTTTCATGATTTCAGCACGTAATTCATCATTGTTGCCCACAGCACTTTAGTGCCGTTTTTAATCCGGGCATTTTTGGTTATTGAACACCCACGATTGCTTAAAGGAACGACACGAAAGTTCCTACGGGATAATGAGGAATGCTTCTTACTAGAGTGAATAGGGGTGGTGCCCAATGAAGGGTCCTGCCCAATGTTAAAATCGGTGAGTTTCAGTGGAAGTGGCGTCTTATCCCATCGGCGTGATAGATGCACCTAAATCTTAGCTCTCGTGTAGCAGGAACACATCCACACAGGAGTCGCCAGATGGCAGTAATGCCTAGATATGATACCGTTATCGTTATCGTCCCGCTTTCATTCTGGAGTGCACCTCTTATCAAACAGCCGCACCTTCTTATCTCATCGTATCATATCTTCCATGGCCTTACACTCGTCCGCGGAGGATTGGCGAGTATCACAACTTATCTGTTGATAACGCTACGGTAACCACGAGTTCACGCGGTCCAACCCACTCTTTTCCCCGAATCTCCTCACTTTCCTCATCCTCTTTAAAGGAATCTTCCACGGACCATGGACCAGTGGGCGGGACCGGAAGTGGTTTTGCGACGAAATGCATGGTAGGTACGGATCCACGTTCATGGGAAGGTTTGAAGTGAATCCTGTTCACGTTCGTGCGTTCGACACGTGGATCCGTACCTACCATGCATTTCGTCACAAAAACTTCCGGTCCCGCCCACTGGTCCATGGTCCGTGGAAGATTCCTTTAAGTTAACTTTTGATAGAGGGCAATGTACTCTTCTCAATGAAACCTAATATCATAAACTTCTCAAAATTAGTGAAATAACCACATCACGGTGTGCCATTCCTTGAATTGAATCCAAGGGTTCTGGCGCGCTACATCTGGCGGCAGAGCAAGGTAACAGAGAAGCTCGTTTGAGTTGCGCTTGGACGCTTCACTATGTTCGGAATCACTTCAGATGGGAAATGTGGCGATTGGGGGTTACAGCTACCACCGAGAAATATCAATGCAAAATATCGTCCTTCTTCCTTGCGAGTTTCGTACGGTCAAAATGAAAAAAATGATGTAAGTAACCCACCTGGCTATTCTGAAGTTTCCTCCTATTCATAAACAGGCAGCCATTTGGGCACCTTATTTCAGACTTTTCAACAGGTCAGAGCCATTGGCCTTGAACCAAAAGCGAAGACGCATTTTTCGAGTTCATGGTTTTAGAAAAACTGGTTTTAAGGCTATCCCCATCGAATTCGGTTGAATTTTCTGCATGATAATCCTACAGCACGATCGGACTGAATAATCCAAACAGTGATTCTCTGATGAAGACACGGCAAAAAACTTGGAATTAGTCTGGCGCGTATTATCGCATAGTACCTTCCTTCTTCATGTGGAAGCCTGGACGAGCGCAATAATTAACAGTGTCAACCCAACCTAGCCTTGCTTTGTTACGTGACTAACTTTCTTTGAGGATCCTGAGGTTTGTTTGTTCATTGCTCTATCGCCCGTTCTTAATAATATAATATCCTAGTTTGCCCATAATTTTGGCCCGTCCTGGGCAGTGTCGAGTTCTTCGACCTAGCATGGGTGTTATCTCGGTTTGAATGAATACTTGTTTCTCCCAGAAAGCAGCAAAAGCGAATCATATTCGTGATTGACACCACCTCTCTAAAGAAAAACCAAGATCTAGAACAAGTTTCTCAATCTAATTCAGGCTTCTCGTGCCCTTTTTCCTGTTCCGCGGTTTAGCTTCGTTAAAGCGAGAGATTACGATAAAGTGCGTATGCAGCGTGGAAGTACATGCACCATTGGAAGCAGTAGTCAGGGGCCCAAGGAAACGAAATGTTGCGTTTTTGTGGTCAAAGGTGCGCTAGTTGCAGCGTACAAGGCTTGCCATTCCTTTCTGAGCCCCCCGCCACGGTCTGTGCTCCGCCCCCAGCAGCAGCGCCCTTCGATTAACGTTTTCTGAGGTGTTTCCATTGTGCGTGCGTATCTTCCCCTTTCTCACGAACCGATCACCATTCACAGCAATGGCCTTTTGCTGAGTATGATAGAGGCTATCAGCATAACATGTGCAAACGACCTCCTAATTGGTTGCTAGCTCGTCCATTATCGGAGGTCAACGGGCAAAGAAAGGGGTCCCATTTTGCGCCTTCTTGACGGATTTCTTTGCTTTTTTCGCCACTGGGGCATTATTCAGCATCTCCACTTCCACTATGAACCCAGTCCAAACTTATCGTAATCCCTCGCTTTAACAAATAAATTTAGCAATGGCCTTCTGAATGGTTTGCGACATTTTTTGGTTGGAATAATAGGGATTTGCATTAATTTTTGTCGTTCTCTGAGCATCTATTTGGCAAAACAATACACTACACAGGTCGGTGTGCTCGTTCCTTGAAAATCATTTTCGGTTAGAAAGTGATTCTTATCCTACATTTTTTTTTTCATTTTGAATTTTTTGGACTTTTTTTCAAGAGCCTGACTTTGGACATCCTTGAAATAAATGTTCTTGATCGCTCTGTTTTGAGATCGAAGGATGACAGCTTTTTCACATGAAGGGTGTTCAAAGGCTGGTTGTGAAGGCCCCTCCATTACATTT